ATCTGTCCTCGCAGAGGAAGGAGAGCTTGTACCTGAATAAAACTTGGTCTTAAAGGTGCCACTGGACTGTTTTGGACCGGGGGGCGGGGGGGGGCTCTGCAACTTACCTGGCTGCTTCTTGCTCTGACTGAGGGCTGCTGGGAGCAGAGGGCGGGGCTTGTTGCATGTGCCCGCCCCTTGGGCTCTTTACTGCTGGAGCTCTGCTCCTGTGCGCTCCTGCAGGAAATGACCCCTGAGCACTAGCAAGTGAGCGTGCAAGGGGCATCGCCAGTAGTGGGCCCTGCCTGAAACCCTGAGCCGCGGCAGCTACTCCCCCGTACGGTATGCTGACGCTGGCCCTGAGCCGACTGGGAAATTTCCCCGTTAGTTAAATGGCCAATCTGTCCCTGGCCAGATCCAGTCTCTTGGCTATGTCGAATCTTCTGCTTTGTCTGTGGACGGACTGGTTTGATCTTCATGGGACCAGCCACATTATTTCTAGCATAATAGGGTGACCCGTTCACACAGAAGCTTCTTGGGACAAGGCAAGATGTGGCTTTTGGGGTACATCTGTCTGGGCATGCCAGAACACATCTCCGAAGAGTCAACATAGAATATTTAGGCATTTGCAGCCTTGATGCCATTTGGCTCCGTGAGGCTTCTGTGATTGGGCAAGATCCCAGGCTCATTAATGCTACACCTCCTAGATGACATAAGCTGTTTTTCTTTATGTATTATGGGAATGGTCAGCCATGCGTGTGACACAATAATGTTCACATGCATTTGTCCAGTATCTGACCTGTCTTCTTGTCTCTGGTCAGGCCCTTGATATGGGCTGTGCGACTGATTAAGGGTTCGTTTATGCTGCACAGAGGTCATTTGGGGGGGGATCGCAGTTCCCCCGGGTGAGGTACGGGGGCGGGGCACACGACGAAGCCCCGCCCCCTGCTTCCGGCCGCCCCGCTTCCAGCCCTCATTCAGCCAGGAGGAGGCAGGAGAAGAGGGAGGGTAAGTTGCTTCCTCCCTGCCTCTACCCACCCCTGCCTGCCTGGGGCCAGGGAGGGCCTTCGCGGGGCTTCCTTGCACTCCCGCCGGCCTTGCAGGTCCACCGCCGGGCCCCTCATGGGGCTCGAATTTGATTTGAAATGAGGTTCAGATATGAGCTGTCGAGATGCACTTTTGTGGGGCGTGCTTTTCTGTTTAGGCAGAACTAATGCTATTCTGAACTTGCCAGTAGGTTAGATACAGGCTAGAAAGGGTGGCTCTTGCAGCAGCTGGTGCAGAGTTCTTACAGGCAGGAGCTGGTGGGTCGTCTGGGGTGCTGAAGAAGAGGTGTTACTCTTTTGGGAAGTGAAGGGGAAATTCTGAGGTGCAGTGTAAAATTCTTTTTTTAAGGGTTGGAACCCTGAAAGGCATCACAGCTTTTCTTCGTCTTCTCCTGGTTGCTGTATTCCCTTTGTGGTAGATTTCTTTTTTATTGGTTCTTCTTTTACCTGGTTCTCCTTTTACCCTGTAACTCCCCACTTTCTCCACCCCATTTTTCTGTTCCTTGAACTCTTACGTATAAATTTAACTGCTTTCAATGGACACTTTAAGCATTTTATGAAGTGAGCTCTGACTCATGAAAGTTTATGCTGAAATAAACTTTGTTAGTCTTTAAGATGCCCACTGACTGGACTTCACTTTGGGCGTCCATCAGTGCCTGTGACCTAAAATGACTAAATGGAGCCTCCCTTTTCAGAGGCAGTCTACGCCCAAGTTCTAGGTGCTTGGGGGGGGTGGGCAACAACAGAGAGGGAGGCATTGATTTCTGTGCCCCTGCTCG